CCTGTATCTTCAGAGGCCGGTCTGTGCCTTTTGTAAACCTAACTTTTAAAAATTGCCAGAAAGCTCAGCGAAGCCCACCCTGTTACAGGACAGTGTGGCATCGTGATGGTTGGGAGTTGGGAGTTGGATGGTTGGGATTCCATGTTGGGAGTACCGGTTGGGAGTCCAGGGGCTGCCACCACTATCCAGGTGCACCCATGGGTGGACCCCATCAACTCTGTGATCCTCAGAAAGATGATGGAGTCAGTAACCAGCTGTGTGTACATGTCTGTCTGTCTGCATTGCACATGCGGACGGGCTGTGCCTCAAACTTCTAGGCAGCCATTAGACTGCTGGGGATGAGACACACACCCCCACTGGCATCAACCATTCCATGGGTGCTACGTTTGTCTGTGATCAAGCCGGACATACGAGACTCTTACATAGTGTTGGCAAAGTGAAAGCTATTATTATTATTATTTATAGAAAGCAAACATTAAAGAATAACAGCAGATCCTAAAGGGGAAACGCTTCCGCTTCCCCAGATTACCCATTTCCATTATTATGTTGCTGGGCAGGCACGCCATGGTTCAGGTCAGATGCTGTGTTCGCACCATCCCTGCTTCTAGTTCCCATCACACTACCTGAGGCTTCTGCTCTGCCCCTGGGCCTTTCTAAGCCTCTCCTACCTGCTCCTGCCATGCTACCTGGGTCTGCAGGGTCTCTTACTGCCACCCTACTTGGGCCCCCACTGCCCAGGGGAGGAGGCACGCAACCCCTCCACAGGGCACACTCAGGTCTCTGTCCTGCACGGGCAAGTGTTACAGCTCTTTTAGCCCTGCCAGCAAGACTTCTGCCTGAAGGTTCTCAACTCTCTCTCCATGGGCTGGGCAGGCTCAGCCCTGCTGTCTCTTGTCTTCAGCATTTGCTTTTTCTTCTGGGTCTAGGAGGTTCTCAGTGCAGGGACCCCACGTCCTTGGTCCAAAGGATGTGCTCTGCTCTAGACCCTTCTTCCTGCTGGTAGGGAGGTCCCCCTGAACCCCTGTGAGATTAACCCTTTTAAGCCTAGTAGGATGGCAAAACCAACCATCCCTTTGTTAGGCCACAGTCACCCTATTTACATGGTCATAGTAAACTGGCCAATCCCTGAAAAGGTTTTACATGCCTTATTTGCATAGTCCCAGCCAATCATTTTGTGGAAGCTACAAGACCATGGATAGAAAGGCCATATAAAAGCAATTCGCTGCACCACACCAGCCTTCTTCCCAGAGTTTCTGGGAGGAGCAGAGGAGATAAAACGTGTGAACTGCACAGGACCGTTCATTCACACATGAGCTGCTGTTATCCCCTAATCGACTGTGTTTTCTCCTGTGTTCAAACTCCTCAGAGTGGCTATATACCCACGTTTGCCTGAGACAGTCCCAGTTTACTCTTTTCATCCTGGCTTAATTTTTAACAGGGCCTATTTCATGCTCAAAAGTGCTCAGGTATAGGCAATGAATTCTATTATCATACAATTTTTACCTCTCTCACAGGGGTCTGTCTACAGACAATAGCGCCTATGGCAATTAGTTTTAAATTGCTGAATGATCTCTCACTGCTGGCAATGGAAACTGCTGTGGCAAATA